ATCCCCTGGTTGCAACCTTCAACTCCATATTCTGTATCAGTCAAAACAGACCTAGCACCACCCCCAACCCTATGGGAGACCAAATAAAACAAAGATATAGACACAGACAAGACACACCCTGCATTTGCTTTTTTTTTTTTTTTTTGCGGAACCAGGGATTGAACTCAGGCCCTTGTGCTTGCCAGGGAAGCATTTATTCCACTGAGCCATCTCCTTGGCCCTGCATGTGCATTCTTAAATGCCTGTGTGCTTGCACGCACACACTCAGGAGTACAAGTCTAGAGGTTGGCCTGTACCTGGCTGTCTCCCCAGAAGGTTCCCCAGGCCTCTTCCCTGATGTCTCCCCCATCCCATTCTCCCAGACCCCTGCCAGACTGTTAAGGCTTGGGGGCCAGATAGTTACTCCCTCATGGAGGAAGAGGCCATGCCACACAGACACACACACCACACATATCACACACACACACACACACACACACACACCTCCCACTCCCACCTCACCACACAACTTCCACCAAACACTAAACTAACCGGCCAAACTTGTCTTGTTCGGCAGTGGCAGCCTTAGCAGGAGAGGAAAGCCTGGGCTTGGCCAGCCCCTTGCTCTAGGACACACAATCCTTCCCTCAACAGCCAGAGGAAAACTAGCCAAACTTGAACACTGGAGGCCTGTTTCCATTGCCTTAAACTCCAGGTGCCTTCCTTCTTCAGTGCTACCTCTCCTCTTAATTCCAGCATCCTATGTGCCCTGCTCAGAAGACACTGTAGGCTCTGATGTGGGTGTGTGTGGAAAGGAGCTGTCTGCCCAGAGCTGGGTGTGAAAACACGGAGCTGGCTGGGACTGTAACAGAAAGTCAGGAAGACGCCAGGCTACCCTCAACCCCAGGGACTTGGGTTAACACGATCATAGAAAGGGAGGCCACCAGGGCAGGCCAACTGGCTGCAGATCAGGGAAGTGGCCTGGGTCACCCCCAGCTAGGGGTGAGGGCCTGTCAACTCCACACCATCCGGCCCAGCAGGAGGTTCCCCAACAAGGGCAGACATCGACACTGGTGGCAGGGAGAGGAAAGGAGAATGGCGAGGAAAGGGAGGGTAATAAAGCAAATCTAAGTCCCAACCCCTGTCTCAGCAGCCACTCAATGCTGGCCCGAAGCCCAGACTCTCCCACATCCCGCGGCTCAGATCTCGGGAAGGCGGGGAGGGAGAAGGTGGAGCCTGGCAGCCCGACCCAGCGGGTGGAGCCTGGGCCCAAGCCTTGCCTCCTGCCCGCCCCTCGCTCCTTCTAATCTCACCATCAATCTCTCACACATATATTTATTTTTTCTCAAATTCCCTTCCCTCCCCCACAACGAACCTCCATAATAGGTCTACTGCACATGCGTAGTACACGCAGGGGGTGGGTTTGTATTTTCAGACCTTTTGCAAAGAAACTACCAGAATTTTCCGCACCACCCACAATCATACCCCACCCCCACCCCAAGGAATCACATCTATATATTATGTTATATTATTTCTCTAGACTTGCCAGAAGGGGGAGGGAGAAGAAATGAGTTTTTTTGGCTTCCTGCTCCCTTCCCCCACCAACACGAGTGCTATTATTTTAAACGTTTAACAATGTAAGGAGACTGGCGAGGGGGGAAGGGATAAAATTGGTCTTGGGTAAGAATGTAAAACAAAATGGTGAGAATCAAAGCAGCCAGACTGAAAAACAATGGAATGCGCTCATGTACAAATTCACATTCAAGAAAAAAATGAGAAAGGACAGCCTGACCAGATCTCCGCAAAGGAATCGTATTTTCCCCCCACTTAGGTAGACCGAGATAATGAACCAGCTAAAAATATTTTCCCCAAGTTTTACCAAAGAAAGTCATCTGAGGGGGTGTATCTGGGTCTCTTAATTTGATTTGCTCGGCTAAAAGGAAGATAGTCTTGCCTAGGGAAGTAAGGGAGGTAGGATTTCGTTTCTAAAATAAAAAGTTAAAGGCATTTTATGTCTTTTTTCCCATGGATTCCGAAGGGGGGAGTTATGACACAAAGATCCATCTCAACCTTTGATTCTTTCACGCTCCTCTGTCTTACATATCCAGATCCAGGATTAAAAACACAAATACTAGGTCCCAAGTTTGAATGCAAATAGCTGAGAGCTGCCAGTTCCTTAGCTCACCTGACATCCTTTTTTCCCTCTTTTTAGCTCTTTGCTGTAGGCAACCCTACAAGCAACCCTCTCCCCATGATTTTCTTCTCCCCGGTGCGAAATCTTCTCTGAGGTAACTTTTTCAAAACTTCATTTTTCAGACAAGCCTGGGAGGCAAGAGACTTTATCTAGTCTCCATTAAACCCCACCCCAAGAAAGCAACCCCCACTCACTCCTCAAAGATTGTCTCAACTAGACATAAACATGTGCCACATAAGCCACAGAGATCAATGTGACAGTTTTACAAAAATCAGGATAGTAGGTGTTAATAGTTTGGTGCATTTGTGCTGCTTTGCTGCCATTGACCTGGGAGTGTGGATGTCCCCAAGCAGGGGATGAGGACACAAAAAAGCTCACCTACCCTAAGGATTGGAGATCCCTCCACCAAGGGGGTGGTCTGTACCCGCCACCTGAGAGCGTTACCCCAGAGTGTTGACTTCTTATCCCAGGTAAAGGGGCGCTGAGTGATGGTCAATCTGAAGAGTAGCTGGGTGGGTAATTCAGGCCCCCCAGTGTGGTCAGAGTTTAGGTGGATTCAGAGAGCCTCAGTCAGTGACAGTGAATGGCAGCCACGTGAGTCACAGCAGGACAATTTGGCTACCCTAGACTGACGGGGTCATGGGGGGGGAGGGGTCGCACTTGACACAAAAGAGCCTTGAGCAGAGCTGAGATGAAGGGGGTGGAGCTGGGTGCATCTGGCTCCCCAGACACTCACCGCTCATCCCCTAATCTTAAGTGATTCTCGATCCCCACGGCTGGCTGAGGAGTAGGCTAGTTTTACTACAGGAAGTGGTCTGCGTGAAGTGTGGCCACCACCTGCCCCTACTCATCGGCCTCCCACAAACATTCACACAGTCCCTCCCCTCGAGTGCCACCACATGCCCGAGTTGGCGGGCACCGAAGTCACCACAGGTGGAGGGGGGTCCGGTGGACACTGTCCCCACTCAGCCTGTCCAAGTCCCCACCGGAGGGAGTCCAAGGTCGCGGACTGCTGCACACGCGTAAACCCCACTCTGCCTCGGCGCAACGCCACCGGGGCCGCTGCCCGAGGGGCGCTCGCGCGACCGCCCTTCCCCCACGCGCCCCTCCCCCACGCCGCCGTCCGGCAGCCAGGGTCTCGGCGGTCCCTCGCTTGGCCAGGGAGGGGGCCTGGATTCGCCTCGGCCGTTTCCTGCCTACCCCCTCCCCGCCGAGGGTAAAAAAAAAATCTCCTCCTCCTCCTCCCCCGAAAGCTGCGACCGAGTGGCCCGGTCCGCGCGCGCAGCTCGCGCCCAGCGCTCTCCAGCCCGGGCGGCGGCGGCGGCGGCGGCGGCGGGAAGAGGTGGCAGCCGGGGGGGCTGTGGCGGTCGCGGCCCCGGTAGTGGCCCGGCCCGTGCCCGAGTACTCCCTCATCGTCCTCCTCCTCATCGTCCTCGTCGGCCGCCTCCACCTCCTCCTCCTCCTCGTCGCCCTCTTCTTCCTCCTCTTCTTCCTCCTCCGACACCACCATCTCCTCCTCCTCC